TACTCTCTCTAAATCGTTTGGGGAGAAGGCATCAGCCCCCATATCTCTGCTGCAAAAAGACCACGACAGCATATAGCAGACCACCGAATAGGATAATGATGTCCCATGCAGTGGAATAAAAATCCTTCTTATGATTGACATACACGTATGGGCAATCAAGGTATCCTGAAGAGCTGAGTCCTATAAAGCTCATATGCATGGGGCAGCAGACGCACCAGGGTGGTCCCAATGTAGAAGGAAGCAGCAAGAGCCTCCTTGCTTGAGTTAGAGAATAAGTTGAATGCTATCTGTGCGGATGCAAAAAACCATCTAGGACCAACCCATGATAAGATTTGAGGGCAGTCCAGAGAGAAGGTTTGCGGTAATTATGCTTGATTGGCATGTAAAAAATTAATTTTAAGTGTCGTCGTAGAAATGGGCTCTGCTTTGAATCCTTCCATTGGTACACAAACCAAGCAATCAACCCGCCACTGATATACAATGGTAGAGAGGCATATAGAACCTTTTTCTCAGCACCCCACAAGCAATTTTTGCTTTCTTCCCTTTGTCTTGCAAACCATGTGAGTTGGAGAAGACGGAACTGCAAAATAAAAGCTACCATTGTTATCATCCTCACAATTGTTTCATTTACTTCAAGCCGTCCACCAATCTGAAGAAAAGCACTCTACAGATTATTGTTCTTAACAAACAAGGCTTCAAAATTGAACAGCGGAATCATGTGCCCCGAAGTAAGGACAATGAGAATCATAACAGAAATGAAGGGGAGCACATCTGGATGTTTCTTCACAAGAAAAAGTTGCAAACCCACAAAGACGCACACAAGTGTATTAGAAATCAGAACAATAGTTATCTCCAGATCCGTTTCAACTAATGGATTTTGTAGCTTGCCTAGTGTATATTGATTTTGAAGACAAATCAATCCGTTCAAAATAAAGAGGATCTGACTTGGATCTTTTGCTTTCCATTGCTCCCTTGACATGATCACTGTCTGCCGCATTTAGGAGAGAAAATTGTAAGGTAACTGTAATATTGCAGCCAGTGACTGATTTTTCATCAAGTTTTGACTAGTTTATCCTATGTAGCCTATCATGCACAGAAGACAAGTATCTCTAACATAATGTTCCTTCAGCAGAAATTTCAACTTCTCTGGATACAGGAATTTCACCACCAAATGCAAAACCAGATACAAAAGTAATGTTGTGGCTGATGTTCAAAGGGCTCCCATTGTTATTGCTAAGGTGAAGTCCAGGCCTCCAGGCTGACCACAGCCTATCATGCTGGTATGTATAAAGCTGTTTGCCCACAAATAGTGGGGATGCATAACCCCAGGCTGTTTGTCCTTTAAAGTTCCTCAATGAAATGTCAAATTCATTTCCGATGAATACCCATCAGGACATTTTTTCCTATTGAGTTTAGCAGTATTCTTGTTAACACAAGATTTTCTAGCACCATCAATCTCCACATACTCATATTTTAACCCAGGAGGAAGATCAAGTGATAAATGTCTACTAACACTACTGAAGCCAATCCTACCAAAGTTAATTGGACCATTCTCAGTTCTATTGCTCCAAATTTGCCCAACAAGTAAACCCCTTTTTCACGAAGACAAAATCTTGCGAAATCCCAAGCTGAACTTGGTAGAGCGATCCCCAACAAAAGCATCAGCAGTAGAACGGGTGAAATTAAGAATTCTACAAGCAACACCATAAAGCCTATTCTCCTCCTTATCCCATGCTCCCTCAGCAATCAATGTGGTGTTAGGATCAAAAGGAAAAGGAACCATCCTGCTTCCAAAAGTACTGGAGTTACGAAAGGCCAACAAAATCTGCATTTTCCCTTTATCCACACACCTAATCTGCCTCAAAAACAGGACTACAACCGGCATTGGTGCAATCACTCCTATATTCCAATTCAAAGGTAAGAGTTGGTTTACTGATAACAGAGCAAACTCCCACTTTGAACTCAGAGGCAAACTCTCCTCTCCATCATCATCATTCCCACTCCAAGTATCTGAATGCCTATAACTATCAATCAAAGGGAACTCATATTCATCATCATGATCACGCATCCCCAAAATCGATATTGGATCAAAATTACTTACACAATGTTTGTCATCCAAGCTCTCCAAAACCCCACTAGCTAAAATTCCAAAATTACTTGAATTCTTTGAATAAGTAAGCTTAAGAACAACTCTATAAGGTTCTGACTTACCCGCATCTCTCTGACTCACTCCTCCCGATCCAACCATACAAAGCCTTCCAGTAGATTCCGACCGATTCCCATTCAGCACAAAAATCGAATGAACACTCCTCCGATCAACAGAGGACGATCTCGGAATTTGCAAAGAAAGCTTTGCCTAAATCTTTGACACGTTAGCTTGGTGGCTACTGTCATTTATGATCTCGAAGACATAGCGGGGAGGAACACAGCAGATTTGGCAAATTCATGAGCGTAATTCAACCGGAAGAAGATACATTCCCCTCCGGAAAAGAACCCAATTCGGAAATCAATAGGGCGGGCGAACCGTGACGAGGGGTGTGCTGGAGTCCAGTGGCAAGTCTGGTATTATGTGATTGCAGAGTTTGGCATATTGGTCGCTCATTAGAGCGGCAGTGGCGGGGAAGTGAAGGAGAAAGATGACGGAGATGAAGAAGATCAGACTTGGTGACCATTTTCAGTTTTTAAGTAGGGGGTTTAGTTTAAGGTGCAACGGAGGAGGAGGACTAGACTCCATCGCCGGAAAAAATGGTGCATATCCATGATACTCCAAACCAGTTCCAGACAGAGCTTTTAAAAAATTTTATAAAATATACTCTAAATTTTACAGTATTATTTTTCAGTCATTTTCGGATTATAAAAAATATCATAATGACGTGTCGTCAACACGTGCACACTTGGCATCTAGAGAAATTATGTAAACAATCCTTAACCTTTGAAAACGTGTTCAATTTAGTCTGTGTAGATTTCATGTTACGAAAGTAATTAGTTTCATGTATATTTACAAATTATTCATTCATAAATAGCAAATAAAACTCTTATCTAACTAATAACAAATATGTAATTTGAAAGTTTGAAAATTTTAATCTTTATACCAATTTTTTATTATTAACAACTCAAATTTAAAAATATTAAATTCAAACGAAAAAATTCTCATAAATATTTCAAGTAACCACCAATTAAAAAAAGACTTACAAATCACAAGAAAAACAAATAACAGAAGCTCGTTGGAATATTAGGAAACCTAACACCATTCAGGAAATCAGGTAAAGGTAATTATATTTTATGTCCCTCACTCGTTTCCCTCGTATATAGGGTTTGTCAAGATTTAGTTTTCCAAGTTTGGCAAGATTTTGAGGTGAACTCTTTGAAGAAAATACAAATACAAAGTATTTCCCTTTGTACTTTCCATTTTCTTAATATTCGGAAAGATACAGCAAATATTCAAGATGATGTATAACAATCTGCAGATAATACATTAATAAAAGGGAGTCAGAAAGAATAATGTAAGCACACCAATCCAACATTTATTTCTTATTTCACAAAGTTATTGTTGCAAACACCATAACACCATACTAGGGCCAGACTAAACCTTCACCAAAAACAAAACAGATACTTAATTCAAATTTTATTTATTTACAGAGATACCAAATTGTAGCAATAGTAGTGTTTAGTTTTGTGGTAACTTGCATCAGAACAGAACATTCATGTGTCAGGCCCTGTGAATTGGCTGCAGTCGATACCTATATCAGTAAATGCCTCCACAAGCTTTGGGAAGAGCTTAGCAAGCATGATTTTGAACCCAGTAGAACTTCCCTTTGAGTTTTCATATTCGTTTTCCCCATCTTCGAAAGCATGTCCTACCGGAGCATCTTCCATGTATGCCTTACAAGCTGACAGAATGAAGCTTGAGCGCTTGCTGAAGTGCTCCTTGACGAGTGCCTCAAAATGCTGCACCAGCAAACATCAACATTTAGAAATCATGTTTTAGTGGATGAGATGAACAGAGAAGTTAGTATATCAACCCTTTACCTTAGGTGGCTTGTGGAGTATGTAAAGCATGGATTTGCAGTTGAGGAGGAAGGCGCTTTCATTATAATTTATGGAATTCTTCTCCCCCTCAGCTCTTCCAATCTGCTTATCATAACCAGCCTCATTGAAATAAGGCTTCTCATTGAGCACGAGAGCCTGGAGGGAGAGAAGTACTTGAAGAATAGTAGAGTCTGGATTCCACACTTCGGTGCCAGAACCCGTCCATGTGTTTAAAAGGCTGAGGCAAACATTTCCAGATTCATACAAGTTCGGATTCAGGCGTAGGCCACCCGAATTGTAATGTACCAACTGCATAAAATTGTTTCCAGTACATATAATTTTAGTGAGTGATGTGTCATCAAGCTCTGGTTAAATAATTAGCAAGAAAACAATACACAAGAACTTACAGGTGGTTCACTAGGATATTCTGGAGGGAAAAAAATGTCAAAGAAGAATAGCCCATCATGGTAGGGTGTTCCTGATGCACCAACAACAGCTGCTCTTAGGAGATCCATTCTTTCCTCATAGATGCGAACATAGATAGTTTCTGTTCATGTCAGCAATATGATTGTCAAGAAATAACCAGTGTAAGCTTTAAATTATTTTAGCATACATTCTCCTCAGTTTGTAACTGCATGCCTATAGCAATGTGTTTCATCTTGTTCTAAAGAATGTCAACGTCTAAACCGAGCATGAATGCATTTTTTTTCCATGATCCCATTAAACATTTTATCATTTTCTTCATAGAGAAAAGGTTGATAAAGGAGACTTCTCATAGAGACCTTAGAACCTACTACAGATGCAAAAGCCTAAAAGTCTTTCCCACACCAATGTTTTCCCATTTAAGATGGCTATAGAAGTAACTAACGATTGAAATTCCAACTTCCAAGCAACCATTCATGCTATTCTGAAGAGAATTGACTAGGGGAAGAACTTCAAAATATATAACACATAATAGCAGTAATGTAATGAAGAAGATAAAGTGCTAACCAGGAAGGTCTTTCTCTAGAATGCTCCATTCTTCCTGAACCTTCTTTAGCCAACTTCTTTTCATCTGTAAGGGGCATCAGGGAAAATTAATGAAAACTGATCTTCCTGATTGTTTGAAGAAATCCACTGGCATTTTAAAGGATGATTGGGAATGTGTCTAACCTGAGGAAGTAGCTGTGTGTTGCCCTCACCATGAAATTTGTGGTCAGAGCAGTCGCTAACCATATCAAACTGCCTAAACCAATCTGTAATCTCACCCTCTCTTGAAAACATAGCATCTTTCCTCTCGTCATTGTCCCCAACTTCCTGCTTTGAGTTTCCCATTCCAAATGTCTGCAACTCACCTGGATCTGGTTCAACACAGAGGTCACAAGCTTCCAGCACTTCTTTCTCAAGGAGAATTTCACATTCTTCTCTGTCAGCAGAAATAGGACCAGAAGTGGAACCAAGAGTTCCAAGGAAGGCAGATGCAATGTTTGTGAAGAAGCCAATAGCAGCTTGACGAAGGGAGAAGGAATTAGGCCCAGCACCATCTGAATTCACCAAACCCTAAATCATATAGACACAATTCAGTCCAGGAAAAGAAAATTTTTTATGATGCAAGCATTTTCCTTTCAGCAACTTCCTCAATTTTAAGGAAGTGTTGACTAAATAAACATACTCTTGATCAATTCTTTCATTTAGGATAAGATATGAGTAAACTTAGTTCAGGTTGGTTTCAAAATTGGTGTGAAAATATGTGAGGTTAATATCAACAACAAAAGCTGATCTTATCAATTAATTGAGCCCAAGATTAGTTTTCAAGCACATCTAATAAACAATTGAGTTTAAATCCTAGAATTTCAGCTATAAGCTCAAGATTAAAACTCATTAACAGCTTATTTACATTAAAGTCTTAATGAGTTCTAATCTCTTTGTCCCCTTTAAGTGTATCTATAATTTTCCTAATAGTAGACAAGTTATAGCAATCCTGATTTGTAGTTGCAGATAAGGATTTACTATTTGTTCAATCAATAATATTTCTATTTTTCAAGAAAAAAACAATATTTCTATCATCTTCCTGCATATTTAGCATTAAAGAAAAATGTTGACTGAATTAATCATGTCTGCTTTGATTTTACAAGACATCTTATCTCACATCCTTCTTATAGTATTTAAACTGCCATTTCAAATTAATCTGTACTTAGGTAAATCCAGGTGTAATTGTATGGGCAGGACAGTCTTGCAAAAGAAACTCATGTTATGAGAGAGTTGAATTTACCTTTCCTTTCCTGTTACAAGATTGTTTCTCATGTGCAATCATCTCTTGATTTAACTCCTCAGAGTTTTCTTCTAAGAGAACAGGGGTTGCAGCTGGACCTTCATATTTCTCCAACCGAATAATTTCGTAAGGTGCCACCTGTAACAAAGTTAGATAATCAATTCAAAGATGAAATACCCATAACTACTAAGCTCTGCCACAAGAACCATAGAAAATGAGTTTCATAAGAACCTCGAGTTGATTGAATGATATCAATATATATTATATGGGTGAAAGAACTAAACCTTACACAAAACTCCTGGTATTTGTTGCAAAATGAGTTTCATAAGGTTGTTGGAACTCAGAAGTAAACAAATTGAAATAAAGACCTACATTAACAAAGCTAAACATCCCACAGAATACATATATAGGTGTCATCTCTTCTTGTTTGAAATCTATGTTTAATTAATTATAACCCCAACTAGAAATCTGAAGAAAGTCCATCCACAATTTGAGAAGACAACCAACCAGTCGTTGTCCATCAAGTGTTTTTTTTTTGGGGGGGGGTAAGCCGGTTGTCCAGCAAGTTGACTCAGAATGCTTAAATGTATTGCAGGACACATAAAAACAGCATTCCAATGGAATATCCTAGCATAGAGACATGGGGGATGTCGCTCAGGTATGTCCTATTTAGCTACTCTAGGATCCGGTCAAAAGGTAGGTAACAACTATCTGGTGGGGCAAAGGAACGTAAAGGATTTGATCCAGCATTGTTCAATGATATAACACATAAGATAAGCCACCAGACTCTGTATACAAGCACAAAATAAGTTACTCTTAAAGACTATTCTAACTATGGAATAATGGGAATTGAATGGCCTGACTACAACTATTCAATTATAAACAAAAATATCTGGTATCAGGGCCTAGAAGTGTCTTACCATCTTCAAAAGAATAACTGAAGTTAAGCATGCGTCTATACATGCTTAGAATTTTATTCTCTCTGATATAAACGCAAGGAAGTTATAAATGTACTGAAATACATTTACTTCCAATCCGAAAATAATAATAATAATGAGCAAGATACATACCTTGGTTGAAATGCCAATAGCCCATTTCACCTCCACACTACCATCTTCAAAGCCAGTAACAATGCCAATGCAAGATAAATAACATATGCTAGGGCATCCTTTCTGATTGCAGCCACAGACCTTGCCCTTCAAAGTGACTTCTGTATCCAAACCAGATTCTGAGATTATGTGACCTCCATCAGCTCGGTCACCAGGGTCACCCTGAGCCACCCTAAATACAATGTCGCCAAAACAGAATGAGTAATCTGGGTGCTCAACAAGTTCATAAGCACTCATGGTTTCCACCATCTGCTTTCCATCAGAATCCTTTTCTTCATTCACAATTGTGTTTCTCCACTGTACCTTAACAGTCCGTTCCTTCGCATCCACATGCTGCACAACACCCCATCTTTTACTGTTTTCAGTAGTGCCCTTCTCCAGTACAAACTGCTCGGGCCAAAATTCATGAGCATTTACAACACCTACAGGGAGTAAGTTCTGAGAGTCTAATCCCAAACTACAGCTACCATCCTGCCATGCCACATCCACCTTGGTCCTTGTCTTCACGATAGCAAATATTTCCTCCAATTTTGAACCAACATTTCCTCTCTTAAATCCTCTTTCCAGCTTATTCTGATCTTTAATGAGATCATGCACTGGCGTATGAAGAAAAGCTTGCTCCCTTATCCCCTTGCGATCAGCAAGTGGAAGTATACACCAGTCACCCAGCTGCCAGTTTGCATGGGAAAAACATGACAATAAGGTCAAGTTTCCTGAGTCCTGCAAACATGGAGGAGGAGATGCACTCATGCCACAACCAATGCGAGCAGATGCAATCCAATCAACATGAATCAAACCTGCATCCACGCCAGAAACAATTCCTTCATCTTGATTTCCCCTCCAGTTACCACATAACCATCTAGCTGATTTTGAAACATTTGGGAGCACAAGAACTCTCTGTCCTGGATGATAGTGGTAATCTGAATCTTCAAGTAAGTTGGGAGAAGTAGGTACAACCTTCTCTGGATCCATAACAGTCACCTCACACTTTGATCCATCATCAAAGACAATAGAGAGGCGGTCAACAACTTTCTCCACCCTTCCAATCCATGTTTCATGAACCACATAATCCCCCACTGAGAAGGAGCGGATCTTCAAAAGCTCCTTGGAATTAACATCTTTAATTACTTTCCCATGAACACTGTCAAGATCCACAAACATATTAATATTGACGACCCTGCCTGTCTGCCCTGATTGATCTGCTGCATTGCAAACGATGTCCCCATATGCAAATGCCCTTTCAAATGAGAGGAAATCATCAATTTTACCAATGCTCTCCTCCAGTCTTGACAGAATGATCTGAGCCTGGCCACCATAAAGAAAGTCAATTTCCTGCTCCTCACTACCACTTTCACTCTCCCAATCAGAATCAGCTAGGAAAACTTCCATTATTTAATGCCTACCAAAAGATGTATTTATACAGAGCAGACACTTCTTTGATAGGAATCTTATTGCAGTTAATACAACTGTTTGAGAACAGATAATGAGTCAGAATCCTGAAGAGGATATTCTGACTCTAATGCCAAAGGAGATTTGCCCTAAAGGGTAGGAGTCAACTAAGGTAAGGACTCCAAAATGCCAAAGGAGATTTGCCCAAATGGACTGAAGTTTATACTGAAGGAAACTTCCAGTGGAGATTTCCTACAGAAGTGAAATAAAGTCAACATGCCACATATTCCCCCCAAAGGTATGAATGAAGCACAGAGGAGGAAAGATGACCTGTGCTATAGCAAGAGCAGCAAATGATAAAGTTCTTATGAAATAAAGACACCCCTAAATTATGACTGCCTAGGTAACTGATGAACGGAATAAAGATCTAGAAATTGCCAAAGGAGATTTGCCAGTTAGCTGAGTCTTCACTTATAAATATATATGTCACCTCTGAAAGATGTGTTTCTTCCAGAAACTAAATTTATATTGCCAAAGGAGATTTGCCCCAAAGTGAACCCAGAGTTTCTGCCAGTTACTCCTGCTCCAAAGGAGACTTGTCTCATGAAGAAATGAGCAAAAATTGGATAAAGACTCAGCCAACATAAACAGTAGCTTGATCCCAAAGACTGCTACACAAATTTACCTAACAGTTTAACATCTCCATGGAACCTGTAACAACAACCACCAGCAGTATGTCTTTAAAACTCATCAATATAGAGGGGCAATAATATGCTAAATCTAGAAAATGCAATTGTGATTGCTTAACCTTCCTTTCTCATAATATATAGTATTGAATTGGGTCCATAAAAGTGCATGAAGAATGACATACAAAGGGAGATTTGAGAGCAAAAGAGACAAGTTACTTTTAAATATGTAGTAATGTCGAGTACAATAACTAAAAAGCACCTGAACCTGCATAAAATTTTCTATCCCAGGAAAAGACCAAATTTCCACCAAAAAAAGAGATTTAAGATGATAATATCGTGTTCAAATCATTACTCAGCAGTGCACAGACCACGATTTTCCCTAAATTGTACAGCTTCAACCAGTTTCTTATTATGGAGCACAGTAAGTTGCACTACTGGTCAAGTTTATAAATGATAACACCAAAGCGAATCAGTTTACTTCCTCGTTTAGAAGCATCAGCAATGGTGGGACGGAGGGACACAGAAACAATTAAAATCCATAACAGTCAAATTCTAAAATAAGTTTTTAGATATGAATACAGATTTTGAAAACCATCTCATAAGGCATAAGCATATATGACTATACAACCTTATCCCCCTAGAAATTTCAAATTTTATCAGAATTTAACAATGAACAGATAGTTCCAAGCAGCACTAAAAATCCCTTAATAACATAAAAAAGAAATGATAAGAATGAAGACTAATAATCCCAATAATCTTCAGAATAGATTTAAAAGAATGAGAAAACTAGAAAACTTAACCATGAGAGACACAAAGAAGGATGATTTATGAGATCAACAATAAGAGTCACATGGCCATATTCATAAATCCTACAAATAAAACTGGATTCAAGATATAACAACAGTGAAAATGATGAACTGCAGGGCAAAAAAACCATACCATTTGCCGCCTCTAAATATCAGTGGAGCCATGAATGAATTTCCCGCAAACCAAACAACCAAAACCCAGAAATCAGTGTGGACTCCACCCCAGCTGACGGAAGGACCTCGACCCAGATAGCGAGTTCTCCATGGAAATTGGAAAGTTGCCTGCTTGCTGTCTTCTCTTGCTTCCTTGCTGTCTCTCTCTTTCCCAGAATATGAAACGACGAGAAACAGAAAAAGGGAAAAGGTGAGTAAATTCAAAGAGGTCGACTTCCTCCCTGAATCCGGCCAATCATGCCATTAACGAACATTGAAACCATGGCAAAGTCATGCATCTCCCCCTCTCTCTCTTTCCAGAAATCGCCAAATGGTTAAGCTGTAGTTTCCGCGGTGCTTTCACATCCCACATTGGATCTTATTAAATGCACACACAGGAAAGAATATACCAACAGTATCAGACACAATACTGTACCAACAAACCAGGCAATAGCTTTTTTTTTTCCAAAATTCCTTGAGCCGCCCCCATACGTTTTCCTTCGAGAATTAGACTCAGTTAGTTAGTAGTTATCTGTAGTTACTTTTCCCTTCACATTTTCTCTTTTGTCTTTCTCTTCTTTTCTTCCTGCTTCATTTTTTTCAAATATTGCCAAAAGTTTTAACTTTTACTTGCTAAAAGTTTGAACCTTTAACCACCATGTCTAAGTTTTGAGGAGCACCCAAAAAATTAATTTTTTTATGCACCAAGTTGACATGGGTGCACATTTAAAATTGCCGAGAAACGTCATGAATATAAATAAGGTTAAAATGTCAATTTGATCCTTTAACTTTTAGATTTGTACTAAAATTATCTCTTAACTTTAAAAAATACTAAAATTATTCTTAAATTGTAATTTTTTATACCAAAATAATCCTCAAACTTTGAAAATAACACCAATTTAATCCTTAAACTCTAAAGATAAGGACTAGTTTACTTCTTAAACTTTGATTACAAATACCAATTTAATTTTTCAATTTTAATTATATTGATTTGATATATAAATAAAAATATATCACAATAGCAAAATATAATTATTTGATTTTACGCTTCATTAGTATTTTAAAAAGAATTGATTTTGTGACAAAATAATGAGTTATGTGATATTTCTATTAATGGAATAACTCTTTTGGCATTAAAAATTAAAGTTTAGGGACCAAATTAATATTTTAACCTATAAATAAACAAATTAAGAAAAAAAAGAGGTTAAAAACCATGTTCCATTTATTAAACATGGTTTTGTTCTTCTCTGAAGAGTTAAAAAAAAAAAAATCTTAATCATGTTAATTTTTTGGGGGGAATAAGGAAGATAAGTATTTGGCTACTTAGAAAATTTTTGGGTCTCCACTTATTATTATTGTTATTATTATTATTATTATTATTATTATTATTATTATTATTATTATTATTATTATTATTATTTTAACAAGGGCAATGATTAGAGGTTAATAAAGTTAGAATTATTAATGGGAGGTATTAAACCTGAATAAGAGTGCAATCTATCGGCTACTCTTTTGGGCAACAGCAACCACAACCACAGAGGGAGAATGCAAGAAGGGATGGGGATTGAGCCCCACACCCAAGGTAAGATGCCTTTAACTAATGGTTAAATGAACACTTGGGTCACACGGGCTTCTTTATTGTTATTATTATTTTGGTACAAGGTCTCCACTTTTGGGCAGCAGCAACCACAACCACAACCACAGAGGGAGAATGCAAGAAGGGATGGGGATTGAGCCCCACACCCAAGGTAAGATGCCTTCAACTAATGGTTAAATGAACACTTGGGCCACACGGGCTTCTTTATTGTTATTATTATTTTGGTACAAGGTCTCCACTTACTGTAATTGCACCTATAATTTGATACACATGTCAGCTAAAGGAAGTATTTAAAGTAAAAAATCTATAATTTTTTATGGAGGAAAAGGGGATGACAGATTGCACTCTCGTGAGATGATGTGGACATTTAAGGTTGCAGTCACTATTAGCAAAAAGTAGATGGCTTGCACATGTTGAGGTCATATAGTTAGGGAAGATACAGGTTTTAACATAAAAAAATGACTTGTGATCGCAAGCTCAAATCACAACATGAGAATATGCTTGGATACAGGTTTTTAACAAAAAAAATAAATGCTTTGTGATCACAAGCTAAAATCACAACATAAGAATATGCTTGGTATATAACATCACTAACACAGATTTAGAGTACAGAAAATGATAATGGAGAAGAAAAAGGAAGATTTTTGGTATAAAAAGCTCCTGCAGCTGCAGGTTTTCTTCGTTTTAACAGCTGAAATCACCTATACTTTTACTATGCTGTCTTTTATATAAACAACATGAAAATGCTAAAGTGCTTAATAAAGTTACTTTTCACCTGCAAAATTAATCAGAAAATTAAGCTTTAACTACAGAACATGTGGTATGTCCTGCTTTAGCCTAAAGATTATGTTCGTGACTGGTTTAGGCAGAAAAAAAAAGGTATTGTTACCATGACATGTTTATAGTATTAGTTGTCGGAGTAGGTGCTTTTGTAGTTGCTTACCTGATGACATACGGGCCATGTATAGACAGACATGGTAGCAAACAGCAGTTCAGTTTGGTTTATTAGATAAAAGACAATAAGATTTATATGATGCAATCCAAAAACAAACATTTGGAGGATAGTTTTTCAGTGATTGATAGTGTTTTTCTTCTTCCTTTTTGTTTTAGGGGTTAATGAATTGATTGTTAAGCAGAGTGGAATCGAGGATTAATGTTTTCCTTCTGTAGTGAACAATCTTTTGATTTGGTCCACAAGCTCTACTACTCTACTATTCCACACTATCTAGTTGGAAAAGAGAGTTGTAATAAAATATGTGCCAGAAAATGACTAATTCCTAACCATCCACTTCCATAATCAAAGTTCTCCTTGCATTCTATACTTTCTAACTTTTTTCTCTTTTCAGGTGGGCAACAAATTGGTGCAATCTGTATTTGCCTCAAACGCAATTCCAAGCACCTTTAACCCTTCATTGATCACAAGGGACAATGATGCTTTTGCCTTGGTAGAACTTTAAATCTAAAACAGTGTTCTGTTTATGTGATTTCATCTTTCACCACCAAAGTCAATGAAACAATATTTTAGAGAGTGGGGTTCTTCTTTGGAATAGTCTGAAGCATAGTTCTTTTGCCACTAAAACCATGTTTGGCATCTGAATTTGAAGCTAGAAATTCCACAGCTAACCATAGAATTTATTCCCTTGTTTTTGCAAGCTTAAAGAATTGATTTTTCATCCTTTTTCAACCCAACATCTTTACAGAGAGGCACACGCTTTCAAAACCAAAGTTGGATTCAACGTTCTTGCATAATTGAGCTTGGTGCGCCACCCACATCCGTCAGAATATTGCAAAATTAGACTATTTGATACCTGAAGAGTTGAAATCTGATTATCTCATATTAATTATCATAATGGTTTCATTTTTAAATTCGTTTCAATAGCAGACTCAAACTCCGTTCTTCTGCAACAGACAGAATATTCACAGGTTCATTCCTTCACTGCTAATTCTTCGTTTATAATATGATAAAATGAAGCATGATTTCACTACTCAAGTTTGATTTTGATGAGCTATTTTGCTTATATAGCAAATAAATATACTGCTATGGACGTAGACTATCTTTATCTTCCATAAAAAAAATAAAAAAAAAATGGAGACATATAGTGGAGGGATCACTCCCTTGACTAAACGGTTTGGCAAGTTCTAGACTAATAGAAAGCCTTTTTTTTTTCTTCAACCAGATCACAAAAGAAAAGTGCTTTCTAAATGATGCTAATCATGACTCCAGAATCTTTCTTTTAATGGGTCACCATTGCTTCAACTTTATATCAACATTCCTCTGTCAGATGATTTTCTCTTCAAAAATGGACGGTTTTTATTCATGCAGCCAAGTACAACTCTAGAGCCTTTTTCATTGGAATCTATCCAATCTTCAAGGACAACACAAAAAAAAGGAAGGAACATTGTCTGCTCTGAAAATGCCAATTCTATCAGAAGGGTGAGGATTTCAGCACAACGGTATCATCTTATCAGCAATTTGATTTCCTTTCCTAAAAGGATACCACTTTAATCTAATTATAGGCACTTCAGAATCATATTATAAAACTTGTCTTGACCTCATCAGTCCATAATTTAATGCCAGTGCCTTGCATGGACATGAAATATGATACACGACGATATCAAGTGGGGAATGCTTGCGTAGGTGAATGTTTTTTAATATAAATACCCAAAAGAATTAAAATGGAATACTCCTAACCTCATCTATTATTTGCTGAAGTTTGTGTAAATGCTCACTAGTATGCATAAATAATGCTTTCGGTGGGTTATTTTACTTGTGATGGATTTCAAACACAAGTGGATTCATTATAAATATCAAAGAGGAAACCCACTTTTGACTAATAAATTGAGGAGGTTGGCACACAACTTTTGAATACTTCAGATAATTTAACCCTTTCTGTTGCATCATAAACCACTTAACAGGCTCATATGGTAGGTTATGAACCTAGATATACTAGAATTCGTAAACACAAAAACCTCTTCATGTGAATTATTTTGAGGAAAATGTCTGGTGCATATTCCATTTATGCACATTCGAATAACAAACTTCAAACTAGGGTAAGAAAATCTTTCCAGATAAAAGCCTGTCATTGAACTCTCTGTGGGATTCAGAGAGTTTTTCTGCTCTTTCAGCAGGTTCAAATGCGTAGATTAAGTCAAATATCACATTCCAGATTCTCTCCTTAGAACTCAGGCAGGACCAGATTTAAACGTATGATACACTACTAGTGGATGTAACTATGGGAAGAAGGAGGCTAAAAATATCAAATTCCATCTACAGAAAAAGGTGGACAGATCGATCCCAGTTGAAATTTTCAGTAACAAGTATGTAGCAAGATGATTACACTTGCGTATACTTAAACTATACACAGATGATTTATCCCAAAAAAGTCATTGGATATGGGAATTTTTGTATGAAGTTTTCTTGGATATTGTTAAGTGAGGTGAAGTGGGGAAACTGTTGTGACAAGGAATTCCATTAGCATAATCATATTTAAAACGAAAGTGGGAGCAGTGGAACACACCAAAATGCTTTCTTAGAAAATGCCCAGCTGTGTCTTTTAATTATACTAGTTTTGTTTGTACGAAAGAGGGGCTGTTAGTTGCAAAGAAAGCGGTTCCACTTGGAAGCACTTTGTTCATGGAAGAAGATATTCACCAAAACGAAAGAAAGAATTTTTAAATATTATATAATAGCCACCTTGAACCACTAAGAAGTTACAGAAAGAGAGTTTAGAATTTCAATTGTGGCATAACATCAAAAGGAAAATCATAAAAAGCGGTGTTTCTGGGGTCACTATGTAGCCTGTCAACAGGTTACAGGTGTCTATAAGCATTATTATCTCCACTTCCACAAATTTTATTCATTTTTTAGGGATTTTCAACTGTAGATAGTTCATGCTGTCATAAGGACTTGGAATTGGAATTGGAATTGGAATTGGAATTGTAATTGTGTTAGAAATTTACAATATTGACATGTATAACAAAAACTTGATAGTGGGGGAAACATACTTGGCATGGAAGGAAAAGCCTTTGGTGATGTTGCTGATTGTGAATCCTTAACATACAAGGTGGAGAATATAAAATTATTTTTCTTAATTAAAAGAAATTGCATGACAAAAAAGGAAGAAAGGGACTAAAATAGGGTTTTTAATGAAAGAAAGTTAAGAATTTTAATTTTGATCCTAATTGAAGACTGAAGTCAACTATGAAGAGATAGGCTTGTGGGTTTTTGCTACTCACATTTGCACCACTCTTTTAAAGGTCAGTGATGGCACTATGGATGATGAAGACAGAATGGTCTGTCGTTTTCCCTATCCACAATTTCAAACAGTTTCAAATAGT